GATCTCTATCCCAGAAAGCCTTGGGGAGATTTAAACAGAGAATGACAATCGGATTTCTTTTCATAAAGATCAGTTTAGCCTGAGTGTGGGAACTGATTAAAAGGCATGAGAGTGATTGAAGGAAAACTGCTAGTGGGCTGTGACAGTCTCTCAAACAAGAAATAATATAAGCACATTACACCTCCATGCCCAGAACTCTTTTTTTATTTGAAATATATTTGATATTTAACACTGTGTAAATTTAAGATGTTCCACCTGTTAATTTGATATGTTTATATACTGTAACGTGATTGCCATTGTAAGGATAATTAGCACCTCTACCATGTTACATAATTATCCTTTCCTTTAAGTAGTTGGAATAATTAAGTTCTAGTCCATCAAGTTTGATAATTATAATACAACTAGAAGCCCGATGCACGAAGATTTGTGCAAGAATGGGCCTTCCTTCCTCTGGCTGCCGGCACCACCTTCCCGCCTTCCCATGCTGCCCAGAGGCTGGGGCAGTGTGGAATACCTGTATCGTCACCATGGCAACAATGCAAGCATCCTGCCCCGCCCCCGGCTGCTCAGCGCCTGCATATGCAAATTAGCCTGCCATCTTTGTTGGGTTAATTTGCATGGTCATTCTTCATTGACTGGTGGGCGTCGCAAAGGTACAATCAATTTGCATCTTTCTCTTTTATTAGTGTCAATACTGTTGTCTAAGTTTATTGTGCTCTGTGTTATATCTCTAGGGCTTATTTATTACTTGTTCTAAGTTTGAACCCTAAAAAGCATCTGTCCTGTCCCCCACCTGCCATACCCTGGTACCCCCATTTTATTCTCTATTTTCAAGAGTTTGGCTTTTAAAATCCACATATAAGTGATATCATGTCTTTCTCTCCAGGACCTGTCATTCATCCTTCCTTCATTTTTTAGTCAAGAGTGCAGATGTGAGGATTCAAGCAGGAAAACTCCTGCTGAGCTATATTAATCAGTCTTCATATTGATGGTCACAAGCCAGAGAGAAAAAAAACACTGAGTGGATCTTCTTGGTCAAATAATATAGTGTTTATTTTATAAATATTTCTCTTAAATATTTGTTACATCCTAAAAAAAAGAGTTGGGTAATCTCAACAATCTGGATATAAGAAGTAGAACTTATTTTTTTTTATTTTTTTGACCTTTGATCATGCAAATGTAACATTTAAAAAACATAGGGAAATGTTAAAGATTATCTGATTTCCTGCTCCTTTCTCCAGTATTTCAGGGGCATGTACCTAAAGGTTTCTGCTTGCTTTGCTTCAGATTCTGTTTCTGTGTAAACAGAGTCACCAACTGAGATGCGACAAGGGTCAGACAAGCACTGCAACCGTGAGAAGGATACTGGGCATAAAAGAACTGAACTGTCAGAGAGATTCCCACCCGTCACTAAGACCACTCAGCAGAGGCAGCCAGGTTTAAGCACCATCACCACCAGTAGACTATCTGCAAGTTGGAATCCAGCCTTTATTTGAGCTTTTCTAGTTCAGCTCATTTGCCTTGTAATGAAGATAAAGACAAATCATATTACAAAGCCAATTTGCTAGGGTGCAGCTATTATTTCCTACTTGAAAGACCTTGGATAAATTTCTAAATCTGTCTGATCCTGCATTTTCCAGTTTTTCAAGGAGATTAACTTTTCTCCTTTCTGAAATCAGGATAATAGCATGCACCTAAAACAATGTATAGTATATATGGTAGCTCCTGTTTCCCCACTTTTATGTATAAAGGGGATAAAAGGAATTAAACACACCAAAATACTTTTAGAGGATGTGTTTGGGTGGTTGGATTTTGTGTGATTGTTTATTTCCATCTTTGTTAATGGGCATTATACACATGTGCACGTGGATACACACACACACACACTCACACACACACACAAGGTAAGCATGACATTTAATTACTCTAAAACTGCCAATAATCCCAATTGCTGCCTTAGTATAAACTGTATAGAATAGAATGAAATTTCAAGTTCTTCTCTAATTTGGGCTTAAAAGATTTATTAAGCCCAAATGGTCAACCTGTGAATAAGTCTGAATTGACTCCTATCCCTCAAAGACAAGGCTCCTCCCATGAAGTCCCATGTTATCTTCACACCTGGAATGTTTTTCTTTCATCTGTCCTCATTTGACCTTCAAAGTCTAGACTCTAGCATATACTTCCCTCTCCAACCTTGTATGTGGTAGATACGTTTGGTCATATTACATCTACCTGAGTCTATATTTCTTGAATGAGCTGATTCACACACACACACACACACACACACACACACACACACACACACACACAAACTTACACAATGTCTATTCCAGTTGTGTACACCTAACAGTTGATGAATAAATAGAATGAGTAATAAATGAAGTGAAATAAGATTGTGAAATTTAGTTTGATCATTTTTTCTTATTAAAATAATCCAGTACTGATTATCATAAACTATTTTTCCTGAAATTAAACAAACAAAAAAACACAAAAAAGAGAGATAGCCAATATTAAGATTTTCTTAATATATTAATTTACATTTTTGGCATTAATTATATTCTCATATAATCTTGACATATTTTGCTCAAGTATTCAAAGTTAACCTAATTTTATACATTATATTCCAGAGCAGCCCTACCATTATTACATTCCCAACAGCAATGTATGAATGATCCAGTTTCCCTGAATGCTGGTCATCATTTGGTGTAATCATTTTTATTTTATTTTAGCCATTCTGATATGAGGGTAGCGGCAACCCTTCTTGTTTTAATTTGCATTTATTTAATGGCTAATGATGTTAACTGCATTTTTATGTTCTTATTTGCATCTGTATGTCCTCTTCAATGAAATGTCTCATGTCTTTGCCCGTTTTCTGATTGTGTGTGTGTGTGTGTGTGTGTGTGTGTGTGTGTATATATTTGTAATTCTTGCGTTTGATAATTTGATATATTCTAGGTATTAGTCCTTTGTTGAATATCTGAATTGCAAGTATTCTATTCCAGTCTGTACCTTACATTTTAACTAGAGACCCAGTGCACAAATTCGTGCACCAGTGGGGTCCCTCAGCCTGGACTGCGGGATCGAGCTGAAACCGGCTCTCTGATATTCCCTGAGGGGTCCCAGATTGTGAGAAGGTGCAGAGGCCAGGCCAAGGGACCCCACCAGTGCACGATCAGGGCCAGGGAGGGATGCGGGAGGTTGGCCAGCAGGGGAGGGACTGCAGGAAGACTCCATGGGGGGGGGTGGCCCATCTTGATCAGTCCCAATCAGCCAGACTCCAGTAGCAAGCTAACCTACTGATCAGAGCTTCTGCCCCCTGGTGGTCAGTGCACATGATAGCAAGCAGTTGAGTAACCTTAGCATATCATTAGCATATTACGTTTTGATTGGTTGAATGGCTAACTGGTCAACTGGGCACTTAGCATATTAGGCTTTTATTATATAGGATCTTCATAATAACATCTTTCACAGAACAAAGATTTTTTTCTTTGTATACACTATAAATTTGATATAGTGTGAGAACTATTTCTATAGCCATAGATCCCAAAGATTTTCTGCTAGGGTTTCCTTAAAAGTTTTATTGATTGACATTTCTACATTTAAATCCATAAATGAGTTTTTACATAGTGTAAGACTTAGGTCAGTGTATTTTTGTATGGTTTGCCTAAGAAAGTCCAATTGCCCCAGAACCATTTGTAGAAAAGACTGTCTTCCTCCCATTAAATTGCTTTTGCACATTTATCAGAAATCAGTTAGGCTTATTTGTATGGGACTATTTCTGGATTCATTATTCCATTTTATTGATTTATGTGTCAATCCCTCTGCCAATGCCACTTAGCCTTAAGTTCTGTAGCTACTGAGACCTGATTAAAAAACACACAAAAATATATTTATTATCAGTTTAATATAACACTTTTCAGTTAAAATTGTTTAAAAATAGTATTATTTTTTAAAAGTTGGGGGTGTTGTATATTTTTATTTACAAAAATCAAGTATTTTTTCTACTGTTACATGTGGTTTTCAAAAATGTAATTAAATAGAGATAACAAAGCAAAATTTGAGGTAAAAAGGCCAGGATACATCATAGAATAAAAATGTCTTTGGTTGCAACCTCCTCTACTCTTCTTTTTCAGTGTAAATTGCTTATTTTAAATAAAAACATAAACTCATTAAAAATATAGCACATGTGTAATTCAAACAACTAAAACCATCAAACAGAAGGTCCTCTGAACTGTGACATTTTATGTGCTCAAAAGCTTTCAATGCATTATATGAGGCTTTCTGCCTTAAGTCTATAAATTTTTATTGTCTGTCCTAAAGCACATAAAACTTTCTTGAATGATTTCCAATCACTTATTTTCCACAGAAACTAATCTGCTGAACTGGCTTTTCAACATTTACTTTGCTTTTTAACAGTGAGAATTACATCTAAGTACCAAATACTCAACCATAGTACTGCTCTAATTGTGCTGTGGAGCTGACATGGAATCATAAAACCCCAATTGCAATTACAATATTTTATTTCTTCAGAATTAATTTCTTGGCTTGCCCCACTTTCAGAACTTTTTACAACCATAAGGCTTATGCTAAAATACCACCAAAAAACACATTCACCATTAACTTAAATAAATGTTCTCACCAGTCCCTTCCCACTATCCACACTGCCATTCAGGGCACAGCCATTAAGAAAATTCCCTAGTGTATACACACATGAAACACTATCCTGAAAAGGTCAATGTTCTCCCATTGTCAGAACAGCTAACATGAAGCACTCCCCTCTGAAAGAGATGGACTTGGAGGACCACTGCACCAGGTACTTGCTAGTCAGATGTGGAAGGACATTGCCTAAGAACTTCTCTTGTGCAATATTGGTCATCAGTGATACCTGCAGCTATAGATAAGCCAAGCTTTCTCTAGATGAGTAGATAACCAAGGAAAACTATAAACGCCAACTGATTGCATCACAAGGAAAAGTTTAACAAAGGAGATCACTTCTTTACCTGTTTGACATCATATGCCAGAAGAACATATTTCAAATCTGGTGAAACTGAATGTCTTGATGCTTTGAAGGTTCCCTATAAACAAAACAAAACAATTATCTATATATATAAAAGCCTAAGCGACCAAACAACCAAACGACCAGTCACTATGACATGCACTGACCACCAGGGGGCAGGCGCTCAACACAGGAGCAGCCCCCTGGAGGTCAGTGCGCTCCCACAGCCAACCTCCTGTGGCCAGCCAACCTCCCACAGTCCCTCACCTGGCCAGCCAACCTCTTGTGGCCCCTCCCCCGGGTCAGCAGGCCCCCCCAATTGTCCCTGATTGGGGGGGGGCACTGGCCAGCCAACCTCCCACAGTCCCTCCCTCTGACTGGCCAGGGGACCCCACCTGTGCACAAATTCATGCACCAAGCCTCTAGTCTTATCTAATAAAAGGGTAATATGCAAATTAACTGTCACTCCACAACAAAGATGGCAGCGCCCATAGCCACAAGATGGCAGCGCCCAGTCCCCTCAGCCCCGCCGCTGGAGTGTCCCATCCTGTCAGCCTTGTTTGCCCCTTGCCAAGAACAGACACCAGCACCCTGCTTAGCCCTGGCCGCAGTGGCGAGCCAGAGAGCAGACAGCAGGGCCTTGCTTGCCACTCATGGAGAGCAGACACTAGGGTCCTGCTTACCTCTGGCCGCGGTGGCGAGGGGCAAGCAGGACCCCACAGAGAGCAGACAGCAGGGCCCTGCTTGCCCCTGGCCATGGCAGCGAGTCAGAAAGCAGACAGGCAGGTAGGTCCACAGAGAGCAGAGAACGACAGGGAATGAGCCTAAGCCGTCAGTAGGACATCCCCTGAGGGCTCCCAGATTGGAGAGGGTGCAGGTCGGGCTGAGGGACCCCCTCCCCCCATTCCTTGTTGCCTCTAGTCTTTAATAACAGAGAGATTAGCGTGCATTTGGATATATACATATTAAAAAAAACCTCATTTCTGTGAAATCCATAAAATTGTTAAATAGGCATTCTCATTCCAGCATTAAACAGGCACATGCATGTATGTATGTGTGATTATACAGATGCATACGAAAATGTAGAGAGGCTATAGTAAACTTTTCATTAATAAAATATTTGCTACCATATCTTTTCTACATGTTATCACTATAAAACTATATTATATTTTCATTATAAGAAATAAAAAGCAAAAACTAACTGAACTTCTTAAGTAACCAAAATGCTTTTATATTTGTATGTTCATCAAAATGAAAAGAAATAGTGACATTATGTGGTATCATGATTTTTTACTGTATTTTTCTTACATTTTGTATATTTATATTGGAAAAAAAAACATATTAAAGACAGATTCTCTTTAAAGTAAACTTCCAGAGTGAAACAGATTAAAATACAAAAAATGCATATATATATATATATATATATATATATATATATATATATGGAAAATGACCCAGTATTTCATTGATTTTGAGCCTATAATTTTATCTTTGAATAGACTTGATGTCAGAAAAAGTTGAAAATAAAATGGAGAAATATATTTAAAGTGGAGAAATGATTTTATTTTAAGTAGAGATTGTATTTAACTTTCTATCTAAAGAGAAGGCAATCAGCCCTGGCTGGCATTGTTCAGTGGTTAGTGTCGGCCTGTGCACCAAAGGGTCATGGGTTCAATTACTGGTCAAGGGCACCATACCTTGGTTGCAGGTTCAATCCCCAACCCCAGTTGGGGCATATGCGGAAGGCAACCAATTGATTGTCTCTCTCACCTCTCTCTCTCTCTCTCTCTCTCTCTCTCTCTCTCTCTCTGCCTTTCTCTCCCTTCACCCCTTCTACTCTCTCTAAAAAAATCAATGGAAAAATATATTCTCGAGTAAGGAATAAAAAAATAATAATAAGTAAAGAGAAAGCAAGCAAATTGAGTTGATGCATCAAAAGCCTACAAAATACAAAAAATTTAAAGTGTATAATTTTAGGCAACCTCCCTCGAATAGAGATACACATCTTAATAATTTTGTACACTTCATATCACGGCAGTTTTCACAAGACTGTGCTCCATGATGAACAGAAAAGGTGAAGTCAAGATTTTCTCATTTAGAAATCCCCAAAACACAATGGACAAGGTAAGAAACTCTGACTACTGAGTATTTGGGAAATTTTGCATGGAATAATAAAAAAAGATATATTTGGCTTTTTATTTCAGGTTCTCGGTACAGAGCTCCTAAAGTACTTAGAATTTCCTGAGCAATAGGAGTGTCTTTTGTTAATCACGAATCCTCTTTGAACATCCCAGGTTTATGCTAATGAATGACTTTAGGTTCTGGCGCTAGATGAGTGGCTAGCTAGACTCTAGAGAGTGCCTGGATGGGGGCTGGCCATCAGGGGATCCAGATCCCTCATTAGAGGATTAGCATGTCCAGTCCTGGAGGTCAGGGAGGCTGGAAGGTCAGGAGATGTTCAGTCACTTGGTCAATGATTTAATCAGGTGCCGAGGTAGTGAGACCTGGATAGCAACTCTGATGGATAAGATTTAAAGAGGCTTCCTTGTCACTAAACATATCAATGGACTAGGGGCATGGCACACCCAGCTCCACAGGGACAGAGATTTGGGCCCTCCGAATCCGCCCTACTTCACCTGGCTCATCATTTGTGTCCTTTGTAACCCAGTAATCATAGTACAACTGACCACTGAACAGCACTGGTTTGAACTATGCCAGTATACTAGTACTTGTATGCAGATTTTCCCCCCAGTAAATATACTTCACCCTTTTCATCCCTGGGTTCAACATTTGCAGATCGGATCAATCAGGATGGAAAACGGTATTTTTGCAATCAAAACTGTAGTTTCTGACCTGCAGATTCCTGGGGATCAAAATGACTGTTTTCTATCCCCACTTGGTTGAATCCACTAATGTGAAGGACCTACTATAGAGTCAAAAGTTATACAAGAATGTTCCATTGAGTCGGGGTTGGCACCCCTAACCACATGTTGTTCACGAATCAACTATATACAACTTTCTGTGAGTTAGTCTGGAGAATTATCAAATCTGAAGAGAGAACTGTCGAATTCATGGTCTGGTTCCGCTGAAAGGCAGGGAACCTGGGAACTGGAGACTTGAAGCTGTTACCTGTAGTGGGGACAGTCCGAAGCCCTTACTCTGTGTGGTAGGCACTGGGTCTAGGTAGTTAGTATCAGAGTAGAATGGAATTGTAGGTCAACTAGGTGGGGTCAGAGCATTGTGGCTGAAATAGCAGTTTAATCTCTGAACCAGGTTGACAAGAGAGTTGAGGTCTGGGAGAAAATACTATGGTGTGGCAATGCTAACATTTAGATTTTTGCATATATACAGGGTGGGGCAAAAATAGGTTTGCAGTTGTATGAGAAACAGAGTTTATTCTTGTATTATTTTTATTAATTATTATATTATTTTCCATATGAACAACTTTAAACCTACATTTGTCCCTCCATGTGCATCCGCCTTGTACAATCCATGTATAAGATATTTAGAAGGCCAGAATAGTCATATAATAATTCATATTTTTTCTCAAAAACAACAACATTTCAAGAGCAATGACAATGACAAAAGCAACAATAGAGCTACCATGGGATCTATCATCTATCATAAGGCTATAAATTGCTTAGATTTTTGCAGTTTTTAATAATCCTCAATCCTCCTCATGACAACACTTATGTGGTAGGTTTCACCATTCTTAGAGTTTCATTAACTTATTTTTGAAAATTGATTTTTAAAGAGAGAGAAAGGGGGGGTGGAGGAAGAGAGAGAGAGAGAGAGAGAGAGAGAGAGAGAGAGAGAGAGAGAGAAGAGAGAAACATTGACTTGTTTTTCCACTTATTTATGCATTCATTGGCTGATTCCTATCCGTGCCCTGACTGGGGATGGAACCCACCACCTTGGCAAATTGGGTTGCTCTTAACTGAGCTACTCGACCAGGACCTCTCTCATTAACTTGCTGTACATTGAAACTTGGTAAACATTAGTCACCTCATTCAACATTATTATAACAGGAGGTGAACGGTTACACAGTAAAGGGAGTTTAACTGTTATTTAAAAATCAGGTAAGCCCTGGCTGGTGTGGCTCAGTTGGTTATAGCATTGTCCTGTATAAAGAAAGGCCACAGGTTCAATCCCAGGTTAGGGCACATACCCAGGTTGTGGGTTCAATCCCTGGTCCCAGTGGTGATGCGTAGGGAGACACATCAATGTCTCTCTCTTCCCTTCCCCCCCTCTCTAAAAATCAATGAATATGTTCATGGGTGAGAATTACAAACAAATAAGTAAATACATGAATACATATCAGTTAAGAGGGCGATGCCATCATTCTGTACTGTGGATTAGAAACTCTAATGCCACAGTTAAACTTTTCTGAAGTTCACAAAGGAACACACATCACAAAAGTATACAGGAGTAATTCCTTTCATAAATCCTGCATTATCTCACCAGCTGGAGCGTCTCTCCCTTCCCTCCAAAGAAATTCCCTGTCTGAAGTCTGAAATATTTCAAGAGAAGTGCTCCTCCCTAGTCCCCACCCACTCTTCTGTGATGTTCCTCACACACATTAACTTCACACGTTCACAGGTGCTTCTGTGCCTCCGGTAACAACACTTTAGTATCTTTTATAGATCCCACAATTATCCAGTCTGGCACTTTATTAATTATCACTCTCCTGCCTCTAGCTCATGCGGGGCTCACGTACTGGGAAACTTTCCAAATATCTTTCCAGGGGCCAAGCTGCTGAACCATCTCTGAATTTAGAGAGTGGTACCCAGGTCACTGGTGCTGCAAAGAGACTTGCTGATAATAACATGTATAAGAAACACATCCTTGCAGCTTAGTCAAGGAACATTGGAAGTCTCGGGCAAATCCCTCCCAGCATAAGCCATTAATGTTATCATCTGCTGCGGCTGGGAAATTAATTCCTCCTAGCAGCCACAGGAGACCTCTGGGTCTATACTCACCCAAATTATAGACATCAATATAGTCTGGTTGAGTGTCAATTTTATATGGCTTCAAATTAGGGTTTTGGGAAATGCATTGTAGCCAATAATGCTGTTATCT